CTGCGCATTTAAGCAAAGAAGCAGACACCAAGAAATTTGGTTACCACATTATGAATTGTGGTGTTTGATTTTGAATTCTTCTGAATCAGGAGCGATCACAACATTTTGAGGGGATTGAGAAATTCAGAAAGTATCAATGGTATTGATTGGAGTTGAAAGGAATTTAGGTAGATTTTGCCTTGGTCGTCTGTCTGTAGATGAATTTTATGGAACAGTGCATTTGTTTCATATTTTTCGTGCAAGACGAGTTTGGAAAAGTAAATTCTTAGCAAGGCTTCAGAAGAAAGGAAAAAAATCAGAAATTTCTTTTCCAAGAATCTGAACATTTCCTCAAAATGATTTCCTGGGCTAAATTCAAGAAGTTTTTTTAAAATTTGTACCTGGTGATAATGTAACTTCATAGGACCTTTATCATTTTCACCCCTGTAATGACCATCGGGATACAAGACAGGTACAGCAAAAGAAAATTTCAGTTTGCTCCTAATTCAAACTAAAAGTTACAGAAAAGTGGTCTTTAGACTGACTTTGTGAGGGTTCAGTTACATTTAAAATAAAATGTAGTACGCTTTCCTTTGCGAACACAAAGATGACATCAGGGTTGGTTGGTGTGTTTGGTCATCGTGTAGGAAATGACAGAAGAGGAGCGAAAGACCGTCCAGAGCCTGAGCAAGTGCAACTTCAAGGAGGTGCACCAGTACTTTCTACAGAAGGCTGAAGAGAGACGGAATATGACCAAGGAAGAGAAACAGGTATTAGGTCTTTGTGGTGATGTTAGTCAGGGGTTCTTATAAATCTGGTAAAATGCCAGAAAAGTCCTGGATTTGGCAGGTTAGTCTCGCTGTCAGCCTTTGATAGGGCAGTTGACTCGGGGGCTGGGCGTTGATTTTAACCACTACCTGCCGGGCGACCCGTTTTCGGGTACATGGGCTATAAATGCAGAGCCGGGGAGCCCGGAACTGGGACAAAAGAGTTGGGCCTTATAACAAAAGACCGTGCTCAGCACAAAAGACTGAGCTGTGGGGCATTGCCAACATTTTTTCGCTCTCAATAGTGGAGATAATCCAGCCTTCTTTGAAACAGTATACCACGGTTTGAGGCATTTAGAGCGAGCGGATTACCGCCGTGGACAAAAGCTCACCACCACCGCGACGATGAGCCACACAGCACTGCTGCATGCTAATCTGGCCCCTATTTAAAAGGGGTCAGCAGTGCAATGTGCTGGTTTCGGGAACAAAAGAATTTTACGTAACACCACACAATCTGGGCTCTTTTTCCAAGGCTGCAGGCCTGGCTGAAATATTCAGGAGTCAATGAATTTTACCTGTCAGCTTTTGAGCAGTGCCCAAAGAGTCCTTCATTTTGGTATAAACGGCCATTAAATGAAATAATGAATTTTTGAAGAGTTTTGAAAACGGAAAATCCTGAAAATGACCCGGCATCTTGTCTTGCTCAAGAAAAATCCACCCGGCAGCAAGTGGTTAACTAGCATTGAGACCAGCTTTGAACGGGCAGCCTGAATTATCTAAATGTTGGTTTCGAGTCCTTGAAGAGCTCTTGGAAAGTCTGAGCAGTTTGAGGTGGAATCTTATATCGCATTTTGTTTATTTTTCTCAAACAACAGATTACAATCCTTACACGCCCCCGATCACATTTGGATTTAGCAGGGTTTTTTTCTGTCACAGAAGCGTGGTCATCCTTTTGAGGAATGATGCATTCTTTTATCTTTCCTGATGCAGAGAAGAATCTGCTGTGAAAGATCGAGAAAATCTGTATTCATACTGTCTGACCTCAAGAGGACCACACAAAGAGGGACTTTAACAAACTAATATCGCCTTTATTTTAGCCAATTTAACTGTACTCAAAAACTGCTAGTATTGAGTGTTGTGATATAATAGTCATGCAACTTTTCCTGGGATCACCTGATTTTCTCATTTTTCACTTCACACTCATGCCACTGAACTTGAAAAAACACCGTCCAGCATCTTGTAAAGATTGGAATTTCCTCGTTTTGGGTCAAAGTCGAATTTCAATGCCTGATAAAACACAATTGTCACAACTGCCATCAGTAGCATCCCACCAACGATGCAATGAGAAGGGTATCCTGGAATGTTTTAAAGAACCTCAAGGCTTCACACAAATTGTTATCCAAAATGAATAGAAAAGGAGAAAGCCGTAGGCACAAGTCAGATGGAATTGAAGCATTTGCCAACGGTATTGCTCCACTTTTCTCTTTCCTGGCACAGTTTTACTTTAGGTTGAAAATGCTGACTTTTTAAACTGGCAAAATACGCTAACCAGAGATCTTCTCAAAGTTGGAATTTACGAATGCTAATTTGAGGTCGTCACTTGTTCAAGATTTGTTCATTTTCTCACTGATGCCACAGAGAACAGTGGTTACAACACTCAGCCGTGGCCCATGATCACGTGGGCTTCATAAATTAGTTGTGAGCCTGTGTGCTTGGGGGCATGTATAGATGTCACAAACAGAATTCTAGACATCCCCAGTGCCACAACAAGGAATCCCTGTGTGCTTTTCTTTATTTCGGCGTGACGTGGTTAAGTCAAATTTTGGACACCCAAGTATCCAAAAGCTGACCCCAGCCCCAGGTCCAGTTCATCAACTATAGTGACTGTGGTCAATCTGTCCCAGGCAATAAAGCAGAAGAACGAGGAGCTCCTGCAGGAGTACGGATTCTGCTCCATCGACGGCCACCGGGAGAAGATGGGCAACTTTAAGATTGAACCGCCGGGCCTGTTCCGGGGTCGGGGCGACCACCCAAAGCAGGGGATGCTCAAGAAACGAGTGCACCCAGAGGACGTCATCATCAACTGCAGCAAGTGAGTGGGAGATGCTCGTGAACTCCCGTGTCCTCGTCTCTAACTATTAGAAAATTAGTAGTGCTGATTTGTGGAGACCGTCCATTTCGAGACTTGGTTTGGGACATGTCAGTGAGTCAACAAGCTACGAGGTATTGAAGGTGCAGAGTTGAGCTACAATGGAAATGGTTCTTTTGTTGCTGTGATCCCATATCGCGCATGTTAGATTGTGCTGTTCAGTGTTCTTAGAAAGAGATAATAAGGGGAAAGAGATCTTTTCAGTGTGCTCTCCGTTTGGGAACTGTAAATGATGTGCAGCTGTAAATGGTTTTGTCAACTGATGGCATGCAGTGCTGGTAGCTAGTTCTTATTTGGACATACCAAACTTGCTTGACAAGAACTTGGTTAGTTTGGATTCACAATGGAAACAACAACTGGAGAGTCCTTAGTTTTCTTTGATCATTAAATTTTACTGAGCAAGTTGTAAGAAAGTAGTGTGCGATTAAGGCGTACACTTTGTCTGTCCAGTTTATTGATCAGATGGTTAATTCATCCAAGCTTTCATGTGAACTCTGTTATCCTAATGTGTTGTATCTTTCTTTTTTTTTCTGTTGATAAAAGGGATTCCCAAATCCCTGTGCCGCCAGAGGGCCACCGATGGAAACAGGTGATCCATGACAACAGTGTGACATGGCTGTGCTCGTGGACCGAGAACATCCAGGGTGCCATCAAGTACGTCATGCTCAACCCCAGCTCCAGGCTAAAGGTAAGGAAGAGAGTCGAATTGGGGGTGAGCAGTTGTCAGTGTCGTTCAGATTGTGACCTGCTCCATCAAAATGAGGGAAAAAGGCAGTGACAGTTGTATTGTGACCCACCTTTATCTTTTTGCTGTTTCATTGGCGTATTTGCTGCAAAGCGTCCTAAGTCCACAGATATCCATCACCGAGCAGCAAGCTATATCACATTGTGTTGACTTCACGGAGGAATGATGCATCCCTTTTTTTCTCGATGCAGAAATTATTCTGCCAAGAGAGATCTAAAAAAATCTGTATTCATACTGTCTGACCTCCAGTGCCCCAATAACTGATAGAGTGCTTGGTCACTTTTTGTGGCTCTACGTGACAAAATTCAGCTTCACCAAAACCTCAGCTTAATTAAGCTGAAGCAAGAGCTGCTCATACAACCCGTGTCAAGGAAAAAGTACAGTGCTTGGATGTTTAAAAATGTGGCTATTCTCCATGGGCAGAGATGTTGCCGTGCTGCAGGAAGTCTATTTGGGTGACGTTTGGGTATGTTGCTAACAGATTGTAGTGGAATTTTTTTTCTTTGTGACCAATTTTTTTGTTCGGTTTCTGTGCAGGGTGAAAAGGACTGGGCCAAGTACGAGATGGCTCGCAAGCTGAAGAAATGCGTGGAGAAGATCAGGGCCAACTACCGGGAAGACTTCAAGAGCAAAGAGATGCGCATCAGACAACGTGCTGTGGCACTGTACTTCATCGACAAGGTACCGCCCGTTAAGCTATACATACGATTGAAATGCGGACACCGTTGTTTCTCGGGGGTTTGGGGACATGGGGGGGGTTGAAATGATCTTTCCCGAGACAACAGAGGGATCAGTTGGACGAACTTTGTGGGTTCGCTGGGAAATAAGCCACCCAGGACTGCCATGGTTTGGACTGTCACTGATGCGTGTAGCAGCTGCAGAGGGCGCTGTGTTGCTTAGACTGGAGAACCTGGTTGCAATCTTACAGAGCTGCCAGGCAGAAACTAGCCTCTAGAAGCTGAAATTGACTGGGAACCAGTTAAAGTAGATATGCAGCACTTGACATTTTTGTCGGTATCCTGATTCCGCCTAGTAAAAGTTTTCTGTGGCCTAGAGCATTTCTTTGCTTAGCAGTAATGGGAAATCCCCTGAACGTGTAATGGGTTTTTTTGGGGGGGGGGTAAAGTTGAGTCCTCTGTGAAATTGAGTGCAATCTTTGCAGCTAATTTTGAACTGAATGTGCACAAATCTGTGGTAAACTTGCAATGAAGAATATGTGCATGATAGAATGTGCACAGAATAGTAGAAAAGACCCCGAGGAAGGGTCCTCCTCAAAAATGGAGTTCATGCGCTTCACCAGGTACGCATAATAACTGATTTGTAATCATTAGGATATTTTAGCAGTCCGCAATACTCCTGACCTAAAGCAATTTCACCGGTCGTATCTGTCTTACGGATCAGTTGGCGCTCAGGGCCGGTAACGAGAAGGAGGAAGGAGAGTCAGCGGACACTGTCGGCTGCTGCTCGCTACGCGTGGAACACCTCACCCTGCACGAGGAGAAAGACGGACAAGAGTTCGTGGTGGAGTTTGATTTCCTGGGTAAAGACTCCATCCGTTACCAGAACAGTGTGCCTGTGGAAAAGAGGGTAGGTTACAATGCGATCAGAGCCCCCCCCCCACAAGGGATTGAATGCCTAAAAACAAGGCCCAAGCTCCTCCACTTTTACTAAGACTGACTTAGCTTCAAGTCTGTTCCGAGTAGAGGGTCATCTTGTGTCTGAAGAAAGGCTTGGTCTATATTTAAGACGTTTTTGCCTTTCTGACCTTAAATTATCCTGAGCAGTAACAACTATAAGTAGTGAGGAATGAATATTTTATAGAAACAGTTTTTGGTTGATATTCAGTTGGTATTCAAAAAGATGACAATTGTTGCCACCTTTGAGGCTTCGTTCAACAAAAACAAGGTTGCATTTTCAGATGTAAAACCTGGATGGAAAATCTTTCCTTTGGCAAGAAGCTCCAAAATAAATGGGCGATTTCCAGGGTATCGGCGATTTCCACATGCGGTGTCATCACCGATTTCGTTGCCCCTGAGTAACACCATAAATGCTGTGCTGGTCAGGTATTCCGGAATCTCAAGCTCTTCATGGAGAACAAGCAGGAGGGTGATGACCTGTTTGACCGCCTGACCACCTCCATCCTCAACAAGCACCTGCAGGAGTTGATGGAAGGGCTGACCGCCAAGGTCTTCAGGACCTACAACGCTTCCTCCACGCTGCAAAACCAGCTGGACGAGCTGACAATCGGTAACAATGCTAATCCCCCGTCGTCCCGGTCTGCAATGCTCCTCGTGCTTTGACATCTCACTGCTGAGCTTGGCGCTGTCCGCTGTTCGCTCCCTCCCTTTCTGTTCATATGTTGAATTTGCATCTTTCTAGTTGAATCGGTACTGTGTTCTGTCAGAACACGCCTGGGATGAAGCGACAGTGAAAATGTGATCTCTTTTGGCGTGTTTTGCAAAAAGCCAACAACAATTTGGGCAACAAGTGTAGATATTGCTGCATTTAAAGCTTAAGTTTACAAGACGTGAAGGAATTGCATGAAAAAAGGCTGGATATCAATAAGGCTTGACGGACATGGCTCGTATTCGTTGTTGCTCTTTTTTTTTTTCTTTTTATGTTTCTCCATAATATCATTAACCCTAACAGTCCCAAATCCTCTAATTTTTAATACGATTTTACACACACCCTAGGGGGTTAGGATTAAGTGTTCCTTTAACAAACAAAACAGCTGAAAATTGTGTTCCCAGTTCAAGAAAAATTAGTATTTTCCGTGAGTTTTCTTAACTGCACGCACAGTAGGTATGTAACGTAAATATGTGTTTTGCCATAGTTTTGGGGGGGGTGTTTTAATTTTTGTTTACATTTTTTTCTCGCTGCACAGCGGAAGAGCTGGTCCCAGCCAAGATCCTGGCCTACAATCGCGCCAACCGGGCCGTGGCTATCCTGTGCAACCATCAGCGGGCTGCCCCCAAGACCTTCGACAAGCAGATGGAGAATCTGCAGGCCAAGATCAAGGCCAAGCACGAGGCCATCAAGAAGGCCCGCAAGGAGTTCAAGGCCATGAAGAACGAGTACAAGTCCAGCCGCAACGAGAAACTCAAGACGTGAGTGAGAGACTTGCCGTTGAGAAGTCGTTGCCAACAGTGCATCTGGCCCTCGGCAAAAGGGCCTTAATTAAGCCATCTGTGGCACTGTGAATTGGGCAGAGAAATTGCTTGAATGCCCTTCTGCATGGTACACAACAGCTAGTTAATGATTACCTGACCATAGCATCATTTGCAAAGCCACATTGGTGGAAATAGTAAATATTTCCAAAATAGTAAATATATATCCAAATTTGTTTTTCACGGCTGAGGCTTTTCCTTTTTGTAGGGTGGGGTCTTCAGTGAATGTGCACAGATGCTAATTTTGCTAATTAAATTTGAAGTTGGTCCCACAGTGGTTTACCATTCTTGCTTGGACATGCCCCTGCCAAAGAGAACTTGTGTTGATCAGTGAGTGAAACTCTCGCTCTGTTTTTCTCGGCCAGTGCCCTGGAGCGCAAGAAGACCCAAGTGGAGCGTCTGGAGGAACAGTTGACCAAGCTGGAGGTGAGTGCCACCGACAAGGAGGAGAACAAGGAGATTGCTCTGGGCACCTCCAAGCTCAACTACCTGGACCCTCGCATCTCAGTAGCATGGTGAGTCGCTTACGCCAAGTCTAGCCTCTTTTGTCACTCTTCGGTCCCTGTTCCTTGTGACCTTGTGGATCAGTGAATGGATTTGTTGAATGTGCTTGTGTCCCGACTCTCGATGGACTCAACCTAAGCCCGTGTGGTACGCCCATCCCCAAAAATCTACCATCCCCCCCCCACCAAAAAATCTTCAGTTTACAAATAGCCTTTCCTCGTTGCGCATTTATTGTAGAAACCTAACCACTTCCGCTTGCCGAC